AGTTGTTAATATTATCTTTTTATTGACATGAATGAATCTCATTAAAAAAAAAGGAGGTAGGTGTTTATTTTTGTCCCATTACCTGATTCTGCCTTAAGGATTTTGTCACAGATTTTAAATTTAACAAACTTTAGTTAGCTAATTAATGTGTTGATATCAACGAGGTAACATAAACCATAGCTCAAATAATCAAATCTACATTAAACTTGTTAACAGCATAACTTACTTGAGTTCACCCCTCGTGTTAACATAAAAATGTGACAAGAACTTATGAAAGCCATCTTCTGAAACTTTGAAGCTGCTCACTGTTGACACCTAAACAAGAACAAAAAGTTGAAACAAAAATGTTTTACCCTTATCTGATTTCCCTCAAATTTTATACCAGTTGCCATTTTAAAATAAAAGACCAAAATAACACAAATAAGATGCACAATTGTCTATCGTAAACATTTCTACTATTGTTTAACTGCACAACAGCAGTTTAAATGACAAGAAACTAATTTTAAATAAACAGTTCTAAGGGGGAAATTAATAATCAAAGCCAAGTTACCATTTTCATGACCATCACTAATAAAATCTGCCTTTAATTTAGTAGACAATTACAAATTTATAATTGTCTGTTCCATGATTTACATCCTTGAAAACTGGGTTCATGAATTTAACATCACGGGATACACTTGTGCAAAGATTATACCATTTCAATTATATGTCGTGTGCTGTCATCAAACAGCTGTATTTTTTGTTATCTGACTGGATGACCGGCAGTAAAGGTTTCTAATGCATTCTGATTGAATAGCTAGCGAAATGTTTTCAAAAGACTTATTAAGAACATACCCCAACTGACACTTTTGTTTGTAATGCCTTTTTACGAGCATGGCAAAATTTCTTACACAGTTACATCCAAAGCAGATCCACAGGCCACCCATCATATGAGATATTTTGGAAATTCCAAAACTAAAATTCAATTCCAATTACCAAACCAAAGGCAGAAAAAAGAATTATTTAGGCTAATTCCATACGCATGCCCAACGGACCTATTTTTGGTCAAGCTAAAGTTG